AAAGACTTGCAACCAGGGGTGCAACAGACAACAGCAGCTCATCCGGGTGCTCACTCCCTGACCCTGTCTCCAAGGCCCCCTTTCCTCTGACTTTTCAGTGAGCTAACAGCAGCCCCACCAGGGTTCAGTTCCAGAGCCAAAGCAGAGCACTGCCTAAGCCAGTGATGGCGAACCTATGACACGCGAACTCATTTTTTTGGTTGATTTTTTCTTTGTTAAATGGCATTTAAATATATAAAATAAATATTAAAAATATAAATCTTTGTTTTACTATGGTTGCAAATATCAAAAAATTTCTATATGTGACACGGCACCAGAGTTAAGTTAGGGTTTTTCAAAATGCTGACACACCGAGCTCAAAAGGTTCGCCATCACTGGCCTAGGCTCTCCTGTTGCTTCTTCTACCCTAAGCCGTTCTTTTGTTTCAGTCCCCAGCTTCAATAAACATACTGACAGAATAAAATTTTAAAAAGACCCATACACATATGCAGAATGAGTTAGGCAATACTTCCTCCTTGAATATGTTGGAAGAGTGTGAGAGGATCAGTAATCTATTTAATTTTATTTCCTTAAAAACTAAGAGTAGGGCCCTGGCTGGATGGCTCAGTTGGTTGGAGCATCGTCCTGTACACCAAAAGGTTGCAGGCTCGAGTCCCGGTCAGGGCACATACCTAGGTTTTGGGTTCAATCCCAGGTAGGGGTGCGTGTGGGAAGCAACCGATCCATGTTTCTCTTTCTCTCTAAAAATCAATAAAAACATATCCTTGGGTGAGGATTAAAAAAAAATTGAGAGTAGGTCTCAATTGGTTTTATAACTCATGATAAAGTCAAAAATTGATAAGGCAGAGCAGTATACTGTGCATTTACAATTCCTTAACAAAATACAAATTTGCCCACTGATAAAAACAAAATAATTCGCTCTCTGTTTCCACTATATACTAGGAAAGTCAGACCCCCAAACTCAGGGAACCATTACAAGGGCTCCTAAGTCTTGAACACCCAAGGATACAAAGCTACTCCTGGGAGCTGACATGCAGTCACAGAGCGCCTGTCCTCACCCACTGAGACCAGGTTCCGGAAGTTCTCCAGCATCACGTCTCGGTACAGCTTCCTCTGGGACGGGTCCAGCAGCGCCAGCTCCTCCTCCGTGAAGACCACAGCCACGTCCTGGAACGTCACTTCCTCCTACAACACAGAACACATGTAATCTCAACCAGCACCGAGCAGATGCCATCTGCTTATGTGTTCTTTCAACAGAATGGCTAGTATTCCTTGACCCTGGCTTGGTTTCCTGTGTGAACTTAAGCAGGTTTCTCAGTTTCTTCCTATTTAAGTGAAACATGAAATCAAGAATCTCCTTATCCAGTAGCTCAAAGGAGTAAGTGCATGGCATATCCAGAAAGACTGGACTTTTACTTTTTTTATTGATTTGAGAGAGAAACATCAATTTGTTGTTCCACTTATTTACGCATTCACTGGTTGCTTCTTGTATGTGCCCTGGCCAGAGATCGAACTCGCAACCTTGGTTTATTGGCACAACACTCTAACCAACTGAGCTATCTGGCCAGGGCAAGACTAGACATTTTTTTAAAAAATATATATTTTATTGATTTTTTACAGAGAAGAAGGGAGAAGGATAGAGAGTTAGAAACATCGATGAGAGAGATCGATCAGCTGTCTCCTGTACGCCCACTACTGGGGATGTGCCCGCAACCAAGGTACATGCCTTTGACCGGAATCGAACCCGGGACCCCTCAGTCCACAGGCTGATGCTCTATCCACTGAGCCAAACCGGTTCGGCAAGACTAGACATTTTTAAAAAATATTTTTATTCAGGCGCAGCCGCTGCAGGGAGGCTCTCGGAACCCAGCTGCCTGGGGTCCAGTTTACGCCCTGGCATCTTCCTGCAGGCCCGTCTCATGCGTCCCGCAGCTCCGGACCATTGTGGGTGTCAACCTGAGACATGGGGAAAGTGAGGGGGCTGCAGGCCCACGTGCACCAGGCTGCCATGAGGCTCACGATGGAGTCCAGGCTCGGCCTCTCACCTCTGGCCCAGGAGGCAGCCCCTCTCCACAGGTCTTGGCTGCTGGAGTCTGGAGAAAGGTGTGTATCTCCTAAACTCTAAGGGACCACATGAAGCTTGCAACCAGGGCAGCAATGGGCAGTGGCACTTCATCCCAGGCAAACCCCCTGAACCTGTCCCCTGGCCCCCTTTCTCTGACTTCTTAGTGAGCCAAAGCAGACCAGCCTACACTCATTTCCCCAGCCCTTCCTTTGTTTCATTGTCCCTAGCTTTAATAAACGTCTTCTAAAAATATATATATATTTTATTCATTTTTAAAGAGAGAGGAGGGGACAGGGAGAAAGAGAAACATCCATGTGAGAGCGAAACATCGATCAGCTACCTCCTGCATGCCCCCTACTGGTCTGGAGCCAGCAACCTGGGCATGTGGCCTGACCAGGAATTGAACCAATAACCTTTTGGTGCCCAGGACCATCCTCAATCAACTGAGCCACACCATCCAGGGCAAGAGAGGACATCTTTAACCACGGTTATACCTTAGGTTATAACTGGAGGCAACTAAGATATCCTTCAGGTGGTGAATGGATAAACTGTGGTACATCCAGACCAGAGTATAATTTAGTGCTAAAAAGAAATGAGCTATTAAACCACAAAAAGACATGGAGGTAATTTTAATGCATATTACTAAGTAAAAGAAGCCCGTTTAAAGGTTATTTATGAATATTCCAATTACATGACATTCTGGAAGAGGTAAAATTATGCAGACTGTAAAAAGATCAGGGGTTGCCAGGGCTGGAAGAAGAGAAGGATAAAGAGGTGGAGCACAAGGGGGATTTCAGAACATGAAAACTACTGTGTATGAGAGTATAATGGCGGGGACATGCCATAATACAGCGGTTCTCAATCTGTGGGTCGCAACCCCTTTGGCGGTCGAACGACCCTTTCACAGGGGTCGCCTAAGACCATCCTGGCATATCAGAACATTTACATTACGATTCATAACAGTAGCAACATTACAGTTATGAAGTAGCAATGAAAATAATTTTATGGTTGGGTCACAACATGAGGAACTATATTTAAAGGGCCAGAAGGTTGAGAACCACTGCCATAATATATTTGTCCAAACCTACAGAATAGAATGTACACAAAGAGTGAACCTTAAGCCTGACTGGTGTGGCTCAGCATTGACCTATGAACCAGGAGGTCACGGTTCTATTCCTGGTCATGGCACACCCAGTAGGGGGCTTGCAGGAGACAGCTAATCAATAATCTCTCTCATCATTGATGTTTCTATCACTCTCTCCCTCTTGAAATCAATAAAATAAAAAATATATTATTTAAAAAGAAAGAGGGAACCCCTAATGTAAAGTCTGGATTCTGGTGATAATGATGTGTCAATGCAGGTTCATCAATTCTAACAAATGTACCAATCTGGTGGGGGGTGTTATAAAGGGAGAGGCCCTGGCCAGTGTGGCTCAGTGATTAGGATGTCGGTCTGCAGACTGAAGGGTTGAGGTCTTGATTCCCAGTCAAGAGCATGTACCTGGGTTGCAGGTTCCTTCCCTGGCCCCCATCTCGACGCTTGTGGGAGGCAACCAATTGATGTCTCTCTCACATCGATGCTTCTCTCTCTCTTTCTCTCTCTCTTTTTCTCCCTCCCTCCCTCCCCTCTTCCCTCACTCCCACTCTCTTTATAAAATAATCAATGGAAAAATATCCTCAGATGAGGATTAACAGAAAAAAAAATAGATGAGGCTATGCATGTGTGAAGGCAGGAGGTACAGGGAAATCTGTGTATCTTCTGCTGGATTTTAATGTGAATGCAAAACTGCCCTAAAAAATAAAGTCTATTATTTAAAAACATACACACAAACATAAGGTTATATATTACTTTGAAAAAAGAATTATTACATGCAGGAATAAATGTAGATTAGTAGCCCAGCTGGTGTGGCTCAGTGGCTGAGTGCCAGAAGCCAGTCCACCCTTGCTGCTTGACACAGTCGCTGCAGGGAAGAAACGTCTGCACAGCATATGTTTCAAGGGACCTGGCGTATATGGCATATGTTTGCTCCCCCTCTTAGCGCTATGTGTTTTAACCAGGACCACCTCCCCTAGAAAGGTTGTTTCCCCAGGTGGGGATGTTGGGGATTGACGGGACTGTGGAGGGGAATGAATCAGTAAAACCCCCTAGTGTTACAGAAATACCATGTACTACTTATGAAGAACTTGGACTAAGACTGTTAGCAATAAATTTGGGACTTGTGGGGCCCATATCCCCAGGGGTCTGCCCACCAGGGAAAGCACCAAAGCCTATACCCCTGTAAACCCACCGACACAGGGCAGTCCCAGGGAAGGCAAGCAGCGGGGCTGGGAGGACATAACCTTTACTGGGTAGGATAATCTCCTTCAGTCACTTCCTTGTAGCTTATCAGTAGAGCAGTAGAATAGTGACTTTGGAATAGCCCTTATAATTGAACACAGAGATTAACCTAGACAAGATTAAAATCAACAGAACTAGATAGAGACAGGATTTTTGGCATAGTTCAGAAAAGAAACTGTGGACATGAAACAAGGAACTATAGAAGGTCAAGGAAGGACCCAAAACATACCATGATGTGACTACAGAGGCATGCTTATAGGATCAAATGGTATAAATACAGATGTAACAGGAGAAAAAAGAGAGAACCCACTATGCTGATCAACTGAACGCTGTCTCCATGTCAATCATTCTTTGCCGACTCCGTCTACACCTTTGGGAACCCCTGGACCTGCTAGGGCTAGACCCCAACAGTTGAGCAGCGACCTATGAACCAGAAGGTCACTGTTCCATTACCTGGGCATATGCCCAAGATGCAGGCTTGATCCCCCGTAGGGGGCATGCAAGAGGCAGACAACCAATGACTGATTTTCACTCATTGTTGATTTTTCTATCTCTCTCTCCCTCTCCCTTCCTCTCTGAAATCAATAAAAATATGTTTTAAAAAGAGTAGATGAGTAAATAAAAGACATGTAGGATCTGACGCAGACATAGGAAAGACAGAATCTAGCTCCTCCTGTGTGAAATTCTCCAACAGTATTTGTGCCTATGGTGCTATGCCGGATTTGAATATCCTATCTATAAAATTCCAATGGGGCCTGTATCAATGCATTTTTCAACATTAAGCTCCTAGTATGTTGAGGACAAAACATAGGCATGTTATTTGGAGAATTGATTTTTTTTGGAGAAAAAAGTTGCAGGTAGGAAAATTGTCACTGCAAATGTTACTTAAAACAACAAAACTCCTAAATCCCTTTAATGTCTATGAGTGGTAAGAAGTTAAAAATTAAAAAGTGTGTCAATAATAGAAATACTACATAATCATAAAAAGTAAATGTGATATTAAATGAAAAAGCCCTACTTAATATTAGATGTAATTGTGAATATTAATTAAGCTATGAATACACGAGGAAGAGAATATAAGAAAATAATAGTTAATGTGCCAGCAGTGAAGTAATAAAGTTGGAGAACTTGTGGTCATTTCTACTAATTTGTCCACATATTTTTGAAGTAAAATGAATAATGACAAATAAAACCAACACTAAAAGCAAGTACAAAGTAAACAGGTCTTTATATGCCTGGTGTTCTCTTTGAGTTATCACAGGAAAGGGAACAACACGTGATCTTCTGAGTAGTGAGCTGGAATTTTTAACAGTAAAAAAGTGAACCATACACACCTTAAGTGTCGTCATTCTTGTCTTTTTACTTCTGCAAATGTAGGTCCTGGCTGAGATATGGAGAGTCCTGGCAGGCAGAACTGTGCCTGGGAGTGTCTGAAAAGACAGAAAAAGGGCATGAAAGGGTGACCGGGATGTCCACCTCCCTGAACACTTCCTGTGAATTAGCCAAGGAGCCCCTTTCTTGAGGTGGCTGCTGCTGTACACAGCTTGGCGAGATCTCAGCAGGGCCTCCATTCCTGTACCACACACACACTGGCACCATCTCCAACACTGCCTTGTGGTACCCAAGGTCACAAATCAGACTCTGGTATGATACAAATTGAGACAATAGAATGTCCAGAGCAAGGATCATCTCTGGAGCAGCAATATATGGGTTCAAATCCTAGTGCAGCACCTCACGGAGATGGGTTGTCTTGGGCAAATTAATAACATCTCTTTTCCTCAATTGTGTCATATGTACAACTGAGAGAATATCAGTTCCAAATTACTTGAACTCTTCAGAGCTGGAAAGCACTTTAAATACTAAAAGGATTTCTTATTTTTATAGCTATAGTAAAAAAGATGGTATTTTATAATATGAAATTGGTGTATAATGTGATCACTACCAAAAGACATTGTATGGTACCTGTACTTCTGAAGTGATTGTTCTGTTCTGTGAAGGTCACTCATAACTTCTGAAAAATCTGTTGACTCGGCCTCATTGTCTTTCCTAACAATGTGAAACTTTAGCAATAATTTTTAAATGACCACAGACAACTGTCTTCTAAAAAAACAACAACAACAAATTGGTTTCTAGTATCTGATAAGAAACACAAGATTCTGGACAAGATTTGTGGAAAACAGTTTTGGCAGTTTCTTAAAAAGTTATTCCTAAAGTTACCAATCACCAAGCAATTCCACTTCTAGGTATCTATCAAAGAGAAATGAAAACATATCTCCACACAAAAACTTACACCTAAGTGTTTATAAAACTGTTATTCATAAGAACCCCAAACAGGAAACAACTAAAATGTACACCTATGTGGGTGAATGGATAGGGAAAGTGTGGTATATCCACAATAAAATATTCATGGGCAATAAAAAGGAATGGAATTATGATATATACTACAACATGATCTTGAAACATTATAAGTTAAAGAGCCAGTCTCAAAAGACCACATATTGTATTATCCCATTTAAATAAAAGGTTGAAAAATACAGAGACAGGAAGCTAGTGGTTGGTCTGAGATATGAGAATGAGGATTAACTATATATGGGAACTACAGGGCCGGTGCATGAAAACTCATGCACTGGAGGGGGGGGGGTCTCTCTGTCCTGCCTGCCCCCTCTCACAGTCTGGGAGCCCTGAGGGGCGGGAGGCGACCTGGCTATGAGGGGGAAGCCGACACCCCCATCACACCTCTGCTGCTGCCACTGCCGGCAGCGCAAGCCTTGGGCCAGCCCTGGTTACCTGAGCCTCGGGCG